TTCCCATTACGTATCAAAACCCAATTTTTTCCCAATTTCAGACTATGTGGAAAAAAAAAATTAGTAAAACAAAAAAAAAAATGGTCGCTTCGAAGTTTGAAGAAACTATGACTTGTAGTCCCCACCAATCTGGTTCTCTCTCTGTACTCCCACACCCCACTTTCTCTCTCTATCTCTATATATATACTCTCTCCAAACCCCACTTTTCCTCTCATTTCACACCGCAAATCCAAGGTTCACTTCTCACTCTCAATAAATTCTCGCTCCAAAACACAAACACAAATAGTCAAACTTTTCAACACAAACCATTGCCATGGCAGCTTCAAATGCCTACTTCTCCTCAACCTCTTGGGCCAAAACCAACACCACAAAGCCCAAATCCAAGCCCAAATGTTCCCTCCAAAACCCCTCAATCCCCTTCCCCAAACAGCCCAATTACCAAACTAACCCTCCGCCCTCCCCCGCCATTAATCCCCAGTGGAATCCCCTCCAGAAGGCCGCCTCCCTCGCCCTCGACGCCCTCGACTCCGCCCTCACCTCCCTCGAGCTCAGCCGCCCCCTCTCCAAGACCACCGACCCAGCCGTCCAGATCTCCGGCAACTTCTCCCCCGTCCCCGAACACCCCGTCCGCCACAACCTCCCCGTCTCCGGCGAGATCCCCCTCCCGCTTCGCGGCGGCGTCTACATCCGTAATGGCGCCAATCCCTTCCATCCCCCTCCCTCTGGCCACCACTTATTCGACGGCGATGGCATGCTCCACGCAGTCACCCTCTCTGCCGGCGCCGGCGGCGCTGGCTCCGCCTCCTACGCTTGCCGCTTCACCGAAACCGAACGACTCCGCCAGGAACGCTCCCTCGGCCGACCTGTCTTCCCCAAACCCATCGGCCAACTCCACGGCCCCGCCGGAATCGCCCGCCTGGCCCTCTTCTACACCCGCTCCCTCTTCCAACTCGTCGACCCTTCCAACGGGAGCGGCGTGGCCAACGCCGGCCTCGTCTACTTTAACAACCGCCTCCTCGCCATGTCGGAGGACGACGTCCCTTACCACGTCCGCCTCACCCCCTCCGGCGACCTCCACACTGTCGGCCGCCACACCTTCAACAACCGCCTCACCTCCAACATGACTGCTCACCCGAAAATCGACCCGGTCTCCGGCGAACTCTTCGCCCTCTCCTACAACGTCATCCAAAAACCTTACCTCAAATATTTCCACGTCTCGAAGTCCGGAGAGAAGTCGCCGGATGTCGGGATCCCCACCTCCGACCCCACCATGACGCACGACTTTGCGATAACCAAGAACTTCGTTGTCATACCCGACCAACAAGTCGTTTTCCGCCTTACCGAGATGGCCTCCGGCGGGTCTCCCGTCGTTTACGACGAGAACAAGGTCTCACGTTTCGGAGTGCTCAAAAAGTACGCCCGAGACGCCTCCGATATCAAATGGATTGACGTGCCTAACTGTTTCTGCTTCCACTTATGGAACGCGTGGGAAGAGCCCGACTCGAACGAGGTCGTCGTGATTGGCTCGTGCATGACACCGGCCGATTCGATTTTCAACGAGAGCGACCAAGGGTTGGAGAGCGTCTTGTCCGAAATCCGACTAAACCTTAAAACCGGGAAATCCATGCGGAAACCGATATTGTCCGACACGGATCAAGTCAACCTCGAGGTGGGTATGGTCAACCGTAACATGCTCGGTCGGAAGACACGGTTCGGGTACCTCGCGATAGCCGAGCCATGGCCAAAAGTCTCGGGTTTTGCAAAAGTCGAACTCTCGACGGGTAAAATCGAGAAATACATTTACGGAGACGAGAAGTACGGTGGGGAGCCAATGTTCGTACCCACGGGCGAAAGCAACGAGCAAGAAGACGAGGGTTACGTGTTGATTTTTGTGCACGACGAGAAAAACGGGACTTCGGAGCTTCAAATCGTGAACGCGAAGACTATGGAATGGGAGGCGAGCGTGAAGCTGCCGTCGAGGGTGCCATACGGTTTTCACGGCACGTTCGTAAAGGCCGAGGAGTTGGTGAATCAAGCGTGATTTTAACTTTTTACGGTTACGGTTAAGTTTCAAATTTTTTTCATTTTTTTTTTTTT